TCAGCAGAGTGCACAGATCGAAAGCGAGAAGCTTTCACTGCGCCAGCAGCTTGCCGAACTGCAAGATCAGCTGGAACTGGCAAGAAGGTTAGCCCCGACCAACGGCGAGCTTGCGAACGGTGCTGTCCAGGCGCCGCCGTCCGCTGCACCTGGCCTCATCAACCTCGTGTCCTCCAAGAAACCGAAGAGGAGGAGTGCTGGTGCCGAACCCAGCACAGCTGTGGATCGCTTCAGCGCTGCTTATAACCCCCGTCCCGTTTCGATGGCCATCACCAGCACTGCCCACAGACAGAACCTGCAGGGCACAGGTTTCATGCCTGGCGTCGATAACATCGAGCTCGAGCTCGAGACTCTCTTGGCTGACGAAGATGGTCTAAACGAGGAGGTCACCATGGGTCTTATCCGCAACCTCAAGATTCCTTCGCCCAACACGAATCCGCCACCGTCTGACAAGGAGGTTCTCTTCCCCTCTTATCTCATCAACTTGGTTACCTCCGAGATGTGGAACAATGGCTTTGTCAAGGAGTCTGAGCGCTTCCTCGCCAATGTTATGCAGTCAATTCAGCAGGAAGTCATGCAGCACGACGGCGATGAGGCCATTAACCCGGGGGCCTTCTGGCTCTCTAACGTGCATGAAATGCTGTCGTTCGTCTTCCTTGCAGAGGACTGGTACGAAGCGCAGAAGACGGACAACTATGAGTACGATCGTCTTCTGGAAATCGTCAAGCACGACTTGGAGAGTTTGGAGTTCAATATTTACCACACCTGGATGAAGGTCTTGAAGAAGAAGCTTCAGAAAATGATCATCCCCGCCATTATTGAGTCTCAGTCGCTTCCGGGCTTTGTCACCAACGAAAGCAGCCGTTTCCTTGGCAAACTTCTGCAGTCCAACTCAACTCCCGCCTATAGCATGGACAACTTGCTTAGCTTACTTAACAGCGTGTTCCGTGCCATGAAGGCCTACTACCTCGAAGACTCTATCATTACGCAGACCATCACTGAACTGCTTCGTCTCGTTGGCGTCACCGCCTTCAACGATCTCCTCATGAGACGCAACTTCCTCTCCTGGAAGCGTGGTCTTCAGATCAACTACAACATCACGCGTATCGAGGAGTGGTGTAAGAGTCACGATATGCCCGAGGGCACTCTCCAGCTAGAGCACTTGATGGTAAGGCGCCCAGAACAGGGCCCAGGCAAGCAAGGCTGACCCTTTCAACAGCAAGCAACGAAGCTTCTTCAATTGAAGAAGGCAACTCTGAATGATATTGAGATTATTCAGGATATCTGCTGGATGTGAGTTGAATTCCACTTCAAGCACGACAAGCTTATGTGGAAGCTGCTGACAATATGTTCCTCCACAGGCTGTCACCCAACCAGATTCAAAAGCTCCTAAACCAGTACTTGGTCGCAGACTATGAGCAGCCCATCAACGGCGAGATCATGAAGGCTGTTGCCTCCAGAGTCACGGAAAAGAGCGACGTACTGCTGCTCCAAGCTGTCGACATGGACGACAGTGGACCTTACGAGATTGCCGAACCCAGGGTCATCACCGCTCTAGAGACTTACACCCCTTCATGTATGTGAACTGCAGCAAAATTCGCACCAGATGTGGCCTCGCTAACAACGCATGAATAGGGCTTCAAACCCCGCGATTGAAACGTCTTGCTGAGATTGTGTCTGCTCAGGCAATTGCTCAGCAAGAGAAGCTCGAGTACGATCCCGAGGATGACTTCGAGCCCAACGGCGACCTCGCTGAGGTTGACGAGGAAGATGTGGCCGCATAACTGCGTACAGCCAAATGATATTAGAAGATGATCTTGTCTGTCTTGATAAGTAGACAGGTAGGCAATAGAGCCTGCCCTGTAGAGTGTTCCGTCCTTATTCTGCTCGCCGGTCTCTGCCCAAGACTGGCCACTGAAATGATGACGACTATCAAGTGAGCGGTGGTGTGTCGGTAGCTTCCTTCTTTAGGGAGCTAGATCTGGGGATTTACTACGTCAGGTTCTTGCATGGATAATGTTGAAAGAAGCAATAGTTGTAACGGCGTCCAGTCTGATCGTGGATGTTGCCGGTTGAGTGATTGAAAGGAGATTTCAAGGACAGGGGGTTGGAAAGACCTGTGCAATAAACACTGTCTTCCGGCCTTTCCATATTCGAAAGCTTGGGGGGACTGGCGGCTCGGACCCTGTAAAAGTAGCGCCCAACCTGTTTCCTATTCATGTAGCAAACTATTCAAGTGGCAGAGGTGGGATGAGGCTACCCAATGTTGCCAATCCGTTGATTTCAAGTGCCCCCCCCCCCCTCTCCCACCTGAATGATTCAATACTCAAAGACACTTGAACGTAAAAAATGGGTGAGTATCATCTCATCTGTGTTGACAACGGGAATGAGTTATTCCCAACCTGGAAGCTGGAAGACGTAGATGCCTTGATTGCAGGCGGCAGGTATGGCGCTCCGCACGTGACCGTCGCACACCCACCAACCCTATCCATACTGTCAGAGCGCTGTAATTGATAGCGGGCATTCATGCTACCTACCTAGCAAAGTGGCCCTCATTGGACTCATTTACATGCAATGCAATAAACGAAGCTTTTCGCATCCCGTTTCGTTCTCTATTCCTTTCTACCTCCCTTCCAGCGGCCCTCGCCACTGCTATAGTCAACCTGAAATCAGCACTATCCTTATTCGCTCAACCCAAACACCAAAACAGAAATTCTCATCAAAATGAGAACGTCACCAAACATCATCGTCACTGGTACGCCGGGCGTGGGCAAGACGACACACTGCGAAGAGCTCGCCAGGCGTACAGGCCTCAAGCACCTCTCGGTTAACCAAGTTGTCAAAGACCGAGAATGCCATGAGGGCTGGGACGACGAGTTCCAGAGTTGGATTGTTGACGAAGACAAGGTTTGTCGTCTTGTAACACTCATCTGTGGGAATTGAAGTTCACCATCGCGAAAATCCTGACACTCGCTATTCCTGTTGCTCAAGTGTTCGCTATACTAATGAATATGGTGTTCAGTTGCTCGATGCCATTGAGGGAGACGTTCAGGAAGGGGGCTACATTATTGACTGGCACGCCTGCGACTTATTTCCCAAAAGTTGGATTGACCTCGTTGTCGTGTTGCGTGTGGATTCGACCACACTCTATGACCGTCTAGCAGCAAGGTAAGGGAGTCTTGTGTGGTCCTATTATGTTCTTCGTCTACTTTTCCCCCTCCCCGTCTCCTCGGTTTCGTTCTTCTCAGATGAGTGGCAGCAAGGTCGTCAGTAAGGATGATGACGAGGGCTAACACGGCCGGGTTGGCTCCATTCAGGAAGTACCCCGAGGCCAAACTCCAGGAGAATCTAGATTCGGAAATCATGGAGGTATTGCTGCAAGAGGCCAGGGAGGCCTTTGATGAGGAGATAGTCGTGGAGCTTACAAGCAACACATCCGACGAAATGGAGACCAACATTTCGAGGGTGGAGGCATGGCTTGAGCACTGGAAGAAGGACCACTCATCATGACGAGGTGGACGAGGACGACCGAGTGGCAAAGGACTAGGGAAAATGACTGTGAGCTCGGACTCGTTGGGAGACTGACTCTGTCACAGGGAGGTGCCAGGGTAAAGAGGCCTTCTTCATCGCGCTACTTGTGGAAGTGCTGACGACGTTACGTGGGAAAACGAGCTGCATAGACATATTCGTACCTAAAAGGCCTTTATACGTTGTATCTATGCAAATTTTCGTTCAGATGCTAGGATCTGTTTCGCAACGATTGTTATGTATGTGCCTAGCACTCGCAAGTCTTTTCCTATGCTCGCGACATCAAATTATCACATATGCAACTAGACGACGTTAGTAAAGTGGATTATGCAACAGGGCGCGATCCCGTTCTTCGGCATCGAAGCAAAGTGTTCGATGTGGGAACGATGACTCTCTTACGTACATAACACGAACAATTGCAGATATACGCCAGATCCATTGTGGAACATCCTCGTCCTCCAAACAGCGCTTCTTCACCGGACCAGATCTTCAGCCTTTCACATCTGCTCGTCATGTCTACGCCGCCGACGGTCAAATTCATCACTGGCAATGCCAATAAGCTGCGGGAGGTCAAGGCCATCCTGGAACCAGCAATCACGGTACAAAGCCACGCTATTGATCTCGAGGAAGTCCAAGGCACAGTTGAGGAAGTCACCCTAGCCAAATGTCGCAAGGCCGCCGAGACTGTGAGTAGCGGTACCCCAGAAACACCCAGAGTGCAGTCCATAGCAAGTTGATTCGTTCCTTCTAATCATCTTCTAGATCCAAGGGCCTGTTCTGGTTGAAGACACTTGCCTCTGCTTTAAGGCTCTCGGTGATCTCCCAGGTCCTTACATGTAGGTTATGTTGGGGCCGACATGCATTCCTGCCTATCCGCCTCGCACTATTCTCGACGACTAACCGTTTCCACTTAGAAAATGGTTCATGGAATCCATCGGCCACCAGGGCCTAAACAATCTACTAGTTGCCTATGAGGATAAATCTGCCGATGCCGTGTGCACATTTGCCTACTCGCCGGGTCCTGAAAGCGAACCTCTCCTCTTCCAGGGACGAACCAGAGTAAGCCGTGAACGTTGTTGTTCGTGCCTAAATTCTTGCCAACATTTTATCTAGGGCAAGATCGTGCCGCCTCGAGGCCCGGTCGACTTTGGTAAGCAGGACGGACTCTGGTACACTGGTGTGTAATCTTCCCGGCGTGTTGTTGCTAACCACGTCAAGGGTGGGATGCCATTTTCGAATACGATGGTCAGACGTAAGTCTATTGTCGAGTGTTGGCAGATATTCGCCTCGCTAATGCGCTACGAAGCTATGCCGAGATGGACAAGGCGGCCAAAAACAAGATCTCTCACCGCGGTCTTGCTCTCGCGAAGCTGAAGGACTGGTTCGCTCAACAGCGAACCGAGTGACCGCCATAGATGAGACGCACACGATCAGGTCTCGTCGGCTTGACGCCTGTTGAACCGTTTACAGACTCAAGAGCTATTGTGCACTGTCGAGGTCACGGCGATTCGGCTATCAAGTCTGCGAAATGGTTAGCCCGGTCCAGGCCGATTTTTGTGCTCAGAACCTACCTCAGGATTTCGAACTCGCGGTATCGTCGGAGGTACTTGGCGCCCCGGCGATATGGCTTGAGCGATTCATCTGCTGATTTATGCTTGAAAGTTTGACCAATAAGTCGGGCAAGCGCGGGTGGATCGCGAAAGACAGGATCAAAGACGAGCAGATTAGCAGGGCCATGCTTTTGTTTCTCGAAGCCAACGATTGTCAATGAATGGCCTGAACACCATAACCTTCTTAGCAGACTGCTTTCTTTCACGTGACATGAGTTAAAGACTTACCGGCATGCTGGAAGTATATAGGCGGAAGTGACGTGCAGGTCACTCTTGAGCCTTGGCGATGCGCTCCCTGCTTGAAGTACTCCTCGACGGCCATCATCAGCTTGGCCTCGGACTTTCCTTGTTCCTGGTCTCTGAACCCCTGGGCAGTGCATCTACCTCAACATCAGCAATTTGCTTGTATGAGTTTCTGTACTTATACACCCACGGTATTTGAAGGCCAACGAAGAGTGCTTGGGCCTAGGAGACCCAGAAGTTAGGCCAAAGTTTCAATGATACTGCAGGTTACTTGCCGTCTTACCTCTGGAGTACCGATATACTTGCGAGTCCCCTTGATGCCGCCGGTTTCAACCCGCCCCTGGGAATTTATACCGAGGTCCCAGGCACTCTCAATGAGTTCCTGGATCTCGAATATAGTAGGCAGCCGGCCCTGAAAATGTTCCATGCCAGGGGCATTGGCGCCAATAATGTAAGAAATCATCATTTGAATATTGCGATAGCCGCAAAACCCTCCTAGATGTCATTGAGCATCAGCTTTTCCTAGTAAATTTTTGAGACTACGGTACCTTCTTTCTTGAGCTTCGATACATGCTGGACGGCTGGGTCGCACAGAAAGGCATATTCGGTGGACTTGCTCTGGCCCAAGAGCTGCTCGAGAACAGAAATCACCCCTACCTGTGTCAGTGTCACCCGACCACGCCGCGACAGGGCACTCACCGTCGCTCTTGACTTCGCCGCCTTTATGAAGAAGAGATACGAGCCAGTCTGGCATCTGCTGTTCATGCGCATATTTTCCCAGTTCTGCTTTCTAAGAAGGATCAGTCGGAATCCTGTGTCAAATAGATTAGGAAGAATTTCTGTACTCCGAGTCGTTTCTCTCCATCCTTGCCTTTCGACTTTGCTGTGAGCGACAGCAGCTTCCCCCATTGCTCAATGTTCGCATTCTGGCCTTCAATAGCGGATTCGCGGTGGCTACTAGAGGCGACGGCGACAGTTGAATAATTGGGTCGCCGAGATTGAATGACGGCTTGGGAATTAGGGTTCTCAGCAACTTGGCGATCTTCTTCCAGGTGAAGGTCCATGTGAAAGTCAATTTCTGCCAAAGGAATGCTTTCACCGCATCCCTCGATTGGACACTCGGCATACTGCTCTTGTGGCGTCCCAGTTGTGTGTGCGGAAGGGTGAGAATTGTCTTCCTCGGGATGGAAAGTCTCCATGTGCTGGGGTGTAGTCAGTAGACTGAGAGAGACAATTGAACAGAGGTTACCAGACTAACCAGCAACATCTCGAGCTCCCCTCCGCCAGCCTTCCCACAAAAGGGACATATCATGTTCTGCTCCATGGTAACAGGCCTCAGCTGACAACGAGGGCAAGGCTAGCCAGGTGGATATCTTATGAAGTCGGAGATGAGTTTTGTACGAGATGAAGTTGGAATGAGACAAGTGGAATGACGGCAATATAAAGAACAGTCCAATGCAACACATACGGACGCTTGCTAGGCCGGTGAATGGGCACTTTGCTTGATCAATCGAGAAAATCCAGTCAAGGCTTGTTTGCCTCAAAGCATTGTTGTATACCTCGTGTTCGACGCTTGATTTGAGATGCTGCACGAATGGGCATAAAGATGATAGATTCCGAGTGCAGGGTTCTCCGAGGGGCCCAAGTGGGAGGCGCTTGTCAATGTGCGAATCCTGGTTTTGCTGCTTTCTATATTCTCACAAGAAAAGGCTGTAAGAGGATGAGTAAGGTATGTGAGGCACGGGAGGAATTAGTAGTAGGTAGCCTGTCGCATTGAGCAGTTCCAGAGGCAGTGAGAGTGACCAGACCGGACGGGACTCCACGAGTTGAGTTCCTAGGTAGCTGATGTAAGGTAGGGGGGTCCACAGGTCCAATTTGCGCGCCCAACCAGCAAATGGACGAGGCACAGTCAGCGCCTGGCTTATAGGAATAATAAGGTGCATAAGACAAGGTAGACCACATCCTCCCACCCAACCTGCCAGTACCACATTGGGTAGTTTGTTAAGTGAGTGAGGTAAGTGATGATGATTGTTATTATTGTTATTGCAAGTAGGTACCATATCCCGATCCGTACGGATACTTCTCTGTTGGCTCTCACCCTGCAATTCGACTCAAACACGCGGCCGCCTAGTACCCACAGCACCCGAAACAGTAGGTTGCTAAGAGGTATGGAATGACCATCAGCCGTCCCTCGGAGGGCATTGCGCTACCCAAGTAATTCACCGCCGTAATTCGATGTCCTTGTGAACTCTCAGCAACCTCAAAAATCGCCATCCGAACCAAACACCTGTGAACCACTGCTACAGTAGCTACCCAGTCACCATCTCAGGATGTCAGCACCAGTCGGGTGCCCTTTTAAGGCCGATTTGGGTCTGCGTATAAGTGTAATTGATGTGGTGGTGGTCTCTATGAACTCCTACATGAGAATGCATTTGCCCCCCTCTGCAGTCTCGCCCGGATTTTGGGCCTTTTCAATCTCGGCAATCAAGATATCAAAGGCCTTTCCGACATTCTCGTTGTATCGTGCGCTTGCCTCCGTCCATCCGCATTGGATCTTCTCTGCTACTCTCTTGCCTTCCTCTGCGCTAACTTGTCGTTGCTCGGGACGGAGATCGCTCTTGTTACCGACGATGACTATAGGGACTGATTCGGTACCCTTTTGTAGTTTCAGTCAGTACTTCGCTCTTGCTTGCTTATTGCGCCATAGGGTGTAGGTACCAAGTGATTCAGAATCTTCTCGCGGATTACTTGTACCATCTCAAAAGATGGTAACGACGACACCGAGTACACTAGCATGTAGCCGTGAATGCCGATAAAGTGTTTCGAGTTCAAGATACTGTATTCATCCTGCAATTTTCCATCCGTTAGTCGAGGCACTTATCCTTTCTCGCGTCTCTGGACCCATGCATAGCGCTTCCAACTTTTTTCTGCTGAATGCAACTCGTCGTCTCGTCTAGTCGTTGCTTAAAGCAACAATCCAGGGATGACGTACCTGTCCTGCTGTATCGACAATTTCTGTCGCAAATTCTTGTCCCTTATAGCGGATGGTTTTGCTGAAGGTGTTCTCGATGGTAGGGTAATAACTATCAACGAAGTGGCCGTCTACGAATTGAACTGCCAATGATGATTTGCCTTGTGAAGTGAGTATGTTAGTCTATGAATGCTGCTTTCCAAAACCAGATATATATCACAATGAATGCAAACGGGGATAGTCTGGCCATGTTGTTATGGGGGAGAGAACGGACCGACGGAGCGACTGCCAACAATGGCCACCTTTCTGTTCTTTGGCGCCGGCATTTATGTGACTGATGAGTAGGAGACGGGCCGAATGAAAGGAAGGTATCGTCGCTAGAGCACTGTGCTGGAGAAGGAAATGCCCGCACTAATGCTGGGTTCGAAAAGCTCGTCGGGAGAGGCTGAAAGAAGGTAGGGTTATAGTAGAGACTTGACAGTTGCTGTAACGCCTCTGCTGTGTAGTGCGGGCACGTAAGATGCTGTCCTTTCTTTTTAGATCGAAGGCGGGTATAACCTCAAGTAATAAATGGCTGCATAAGGTGAGGAGCGAGGGCAAAGTTGTTGTCGAAGCAGGTAGGAAGGATAGAGCAGTCGAAAGCACAGGATTGGTGTTGCAGCGTAAAGGTGTAGCAAAAAGCGGCGGTAGTAATGGATGTTGATGGAGAGATTGATGGAGGGGGGAATGGAGCGGCGGCATGGCGTATGCAAGTATGGACCCCAGCCGCAGAGAGCGGGATACAACACAGGCACATGCACGTCTTAGGAGCGGGCTTCTGCTACTACTCCGTAGAAGCTAGGACTGGCACATTGCTCTGTGCTCAAGTCACTAGCCTACCATCTCTGGCCTGGGCTTAGCAGTGGGTCCATGCTAAGGCTAAGGGACCTGCTTACCTTGATGAAAAAGGTAGGTCAGGAACCCACGAAGCCCAAGAACCAAGAATTCCCTCTGCGGTATCGTCGCTTAGGTATTCAAGACTGTATAGTCTGCGTTACTATAGCTTGCTTTTTCTCTCTCTCTCTCTCTCCTTTTTTTTCTTCTTTTCTTCTATGAGTTTGTTGTCTCTTGCTTTTATTCATTTCTTCTTTGTACAAGGTAAGAGATATGCCTCCAATGTCCTACACCACATCGTGTCTGGATTCGGAAGACCTCAACATCTTCCTCGGAAGGTTGTACTGTAGAAACCCTCCCAACCTGGTCCCACGGCCTAAGATATCAGATATTCGTACTCTACCTCCCAACACCTATCAGCCTACTAGGTATGTAATTAGTGAGGTGTGCCATGGCTGTGTCCGGTACGGGGGTTGCCTTACAAGGGAAGGGTTCTAATCATGATTGAATTCAGACGCTGCTCTACAACATTTGAGCAATGATTGGTGGTGAGATGAGCTGGATCCAGCTAAACTCAGTCTTGTCCGTCATCCAATCCGGAGGTTATGTGATGAGAATTCTTTTGAAGTACCCAACGATAGTGGACGGAGGCGTCTTGTTCCCCGCAAACCATGCTGCTGGGACACCTGCTTGCCTGCCTATCCACTGGCCTTCGTCGCCGCGCCAGTCTGTCTAAAATGTTGTTTAGACTCCCCAAGCCGGATTGCCACCGTCTGTTCTTCAAAGATAGTGCTGGCAATGGCGGCAATTGTGGCTGAGGATGCCACCTGTTTTGGCATTGTAGCCACTTCCCGACACCTAAATAAATCATCTCCCCCAGTAATTGCCGATTGTGACTCGCTATCGACTAGAGGCTTTATGCCTCTGCCTCAGCTCATTAACAAGGTTTTGCAAGCTTGTCGTCAACTCATCCGTATCCAACTTTTGATGTAAAGCCATAAACTCCTGAATGGAATCGAGCAAGTACTTGGTGCCTCGTCCGTGACTCTTTTCCTCCAACCGCCGGCGTACTTGACTACCCAACGACAAGTAGCCTAACAGTATCGCCAAGTAACCGTGGGCTACGGCAACCGAGGTCTTCTCGACTGAATCAGCCTGTATAACCATGTTAGTCTAGCCATGTCTGTGCCGTCCGCCCTGACCCCTGATTACTCACTGTTCCAGCCGAATCGCGA